AAGATTTACAGTACAAGTTTAGAAATTTTATGCATTCTAGTTCTGAAATTATGAGTATGAATTACAAAAAAACCTAAGTGAAAGTTTTAGTAATAAAAAACCAGACTGTGTTTAAGTTTCATGTTAACAAGTTTAATACCCAATTTTCTCAAATTTTTCTATGGCTGTATATTTCTCATTATCAAGCAGTTTCTTAAGAATCTATTCATAAAATGATTACAAAATTGTTTACATTTTATGGTGCCCCAAGGGTATTATTAAGGCCAAGTCAATGCTAGTAACGTCAGTAAACGGATGCTGACCCAAGGTTGTAATGGCATGTTGTGTTCAGCATGGAGTCTGTATTTATCTCAATCATCTATATTCAAATTGAATTTAAGAGAAAATGAAGATTGGACTTATCAAGTGGGAGAGGTACATGAAAAAATAGATTTCAGTTAAAACTACTGGCAATTTCAACTTAATGAGACTATTACCATATTTACTTGCATATAGGACAAGGTTTTTATTCATTTGTCACTGCTTCAGAAACCTTGGTCATCCTATAAGTGCGAATGAAGGATTCTTTGCGTTTTTGCAATAATTTCTGTGAACCGTGTATACTTTATGCTATCATTGTAGGTCCAAAGTCTATCATAAGTTGGCACCTACTGTAAACAAATTAAGACACACACTCCTTTGTTTAATGGTTTAATCCTACATCCATCAATTAAAAACCACATTGCATCTCATTCATTCTCAAAAGATAGTTTCTCATTTATAAAAACATTAATGAAATACAGGTCATTTAGCAATGATTATAAATGTAGTTATTTTATATTAGTTTTTATATTTTATATTAGTTAAATTGTTATTTTTAACTATACAGGTATACCTCGCCTTACGTCGGTAATTGGTTCCAGGAAAACGACGTAAGTCGAATTTACCTGTCTCCGAATCTACTTATCACTAGGAAAGCATTTTAAATAATATATGGTTAATAAAAATCTATTTTAAGCTTACAAACAAATAAATTTTAGTTTTTAATATAGTACAAAAAAAGTAATCTAAATTTACGAATGCGTGTACTGTAAATACAGTACATACTTGTATATATTTTAATATGATTTTATGTGCTTTAAACGTTTATCTAGTGATATTACGACTTCAATATTTGTGGCGGACAGACGTAAAGTCGAATAAAATGACTTAAACTTGATTTTTATTTTTCCATATACTTTTTTAACAAGCGACGTATAATCGGGAACGACGTAACTCGAAACCGACATAAGTCGAGGTATGCCTGTAATGTTTTGGTTTTGTTTTCCATTCATGTATTAAGGCAAACATGGTTGTTTGTCTTAATATGTGCATTTGATAATATTTTGTGATTAAACAAAATAAAATTAGAATTGTATTAATAAATCTAATTTTCTATATTTTGATCTCTAAAGTCACACCTCATCCTGTGTGTGAGATCATCTTATACCGAGTAAATATGGTATATGGAAACCCTATATACTATACCCAAGACCAGTTGGCAGCTTTGAATAAATTTAACTTCAGATTAATGCAGTTTAAGTTAGCAAGAGTTTTACTAAAATATAAATTATTATTCATAACCAAACAATCTGTCAGATTTGAATGTTATATTACTCTGTTTCATATGATTTAAAACTATACTATCTTTATACAAACTGAGATTTCAGATTTTTTTAGCTGAAAGATACTACTAATGTTACAGCAAAAAATTGCTTCATATGATATAAGATAAAAATAATAATTTGAATTCAACAAATTCATATACAAACCACTGTTTCTAATTAATAACCATAAAAATCTATTGCAAAACCGGATATGAGTGTACTGTACATGTGCTTATATACAAACACACACACAGTATAGTCCCATACAATGCCGGGGGATTCATTACGCATTATAGGAAATCGTGTTATTGAAACCTGCACTATCACATAATTTATAAAAGTTTAAAACTTGGCCTATAAGTTGAAAAGAAAACATATGCCTCTGATCAACAAAATTTGAGGGTGTTGCTTGCTTTATCTGTGCATTGTACAGTACTCTACTGTGTGTGTGTATGTGTAATAAAAATTAGTGTTTAGATTTCATGGGCAATAGTTGGTTCAAATTGGTCATAGTAAAACCTTACCAGCTGCAATTCAATTATGAATCCTACTGATCCATAATGGGAATTTTGACATAATGCAGTTATTAAGTAAAAAGAAATAAGTTTATTGATTTGCAAATCTTAAAGTCAGACAGCTGTTGTTAGTCTCACTGTTTGATTTAATGTTTTCCTTTGTCATTCAAAATTTAGATATAAACTATTTTAAATCTATTACTATATGGCAAAAAACTTTTGTAATTTTAAATTTTATGTACTATTTAAATCAACTATTAGTTCTGACCATATTACCAAATGAAATTTACTTTTATTACAATTTCATAAATGTTTTTGCTTGAAACATGTTTTCTAATGTTCCATTTAAGATAATAAAGTGGAACAACTTTTAAAATATAAAACTGCTTTAAATTGTGTCAAAACTTTAATAGAAAAACATTTTGAATACTATTACAATAGCATATGTGATAAGGAATTAAATAAAATGAATCTGAATCTAACATTTTTATGTAGATCGTAAGTTTCTTAATCTTAAATTTTATTTAAAATTACTTATTCAAAAAAAAATTTAGTTTTGAATCTTTATATATAATACGAATGTTTGAACTGTTTGAAATAACACAAACACTTCAATCAAATTGAGTATCTAAAATTTTAAGACCTTCATTATTTTGTTTCTTTAATATGAAATTAAATTTATTTTATATAAATTTATTTTTAAATCTAAAGTTTTTTACATAATCATGGTTACTTTGTATATGAAAAGTATAATTCTATAAATCAGATGTAATATTTAATGAATGCATTTTGTAAAGCTGTATTTTTAATTATTCAGGTTAACACCTTCAACTGCAATAAATCATCGAGCTATAATTTGGTAATAATAATTATAAACTGCTAATAAATTTTGCAGTTGAAGGTGTGCTATTGCAACGTATCAGGTTTAGTAAAGTTATTTATATTCAGACTCGTTATTTAATTTTATTTGAATATTTTGACAAATTATTCTAGTTAATTTGTAAGAATCCAGGATCATGTGAAGAAAGAAGCATACCAAAATTTCTCGTAAATTGTCTAAGAAAGTTGATTTGCTCCTGGAGAATAAGTATAATTTTTATATAATAAATTCTATTATTTCCAGCTTAAGTTCTTTTTTCAGCAGTATAAATCATTTATAATAGCTGATAAATGTATCAAGAATTTCCTATCAAGTAAAAATATCCTTTACTATTATAGCAATTCAATGTTCCCATAGGTAATCTAAATTTGTTTTTTTTTATGTATTAAATCCTATTTAATTTATAAAAAAATTATTATTTAGAACCTGATGAGATTAGATTTTAAACTGTTTACTACAGTAAGAATATAGCATTTAATATCTGAATAAGGAAAAAAAACTGGTAAACTTTAAACTAAAAGAAGTTAAATAAATATCTTTTGTAAAAATTTTATCTATTAATATTTGCCAATATTGTTATACTTAGTTATACATTCTATCCTAAGGAATAAGATGTTCTTGTTAACTTATATAAAACTTGTTCAAAATTAAGATTATTTTTCAGTATTATTATTTTATAAAATTTTCAAAGGAAAAATTTATTTTCTTTAAGAACTTCCAAACTATGACAGCTTACATTATAAACATTAATATCACAACAGCTACAAAAACCTCACTGAATTTGACACTCAAGTAGCCTCTCCAACTACCACCATACACAACATCTGCAACATGTCAAATCTACCAAGTAATTTCATTCAAAATTCTCTCCCCTCTCCAGTCAATTATGTTTCTCTCTATTTTTTTATAACTATTTCATTGCCCATGTAAACAAATTTATGACAACAAATGATATCCTCAATTAAAGCAATATAATTTTGTTATGATCTATTCTTGAGTAATGTAAAATTATAAATTTCAGTAGATTCAAATTTTTCAATTGACATTTTTATATTTAAAGTTCATATTATTATACTGTTCATAAAAATACTTATTTTAAATTATACAGTTTTATCTCCCCCTTACAGAACATTTGCAGTTATCGATAAAATCATTTAAAACAATTCCTGCTTATTTATTCAAATTATTAATATCTATACTTTCTAAATTTATTTTGCAAATAAATTATATATTTATATTTTTAAAACATTTTCTACATTTTTTATTAACAATTTTGTACAGTAATACAAGAAAAATCTGGCACAAAACCTTATATATATATATATAAAGTCTTTCCAAACACTGTCAAGTATTTGTTAGTTGAGGAGCAGTCCAAGCCTTTAGTCATCTATAAACAATTTTTAGGTATGACTAAGTAATCTCCGGTAACTGACTTAAAAAGACTACCATCTTCACATCACGCATACTGTATATATGAAACATATCTACTTTTTATTTACAATGAAAAAAAAAACTAAGTTGTGTGTAATAAATGTATGGTACATGAAGTATATATATATAAAATGATGAAAAGATACTGCATGTAGTTAAACAACACAGCAATTTACAACAAAGAATGCATACATTTTGTAAAAGTAAACATTGCTAGTAAATATAAGCAAAGAAAGAAGACTTGGAATAAGTTTATTATAAGTTCATGTATCTAAATCCAAACATAGTTACTTATTTTTATATTTAAAAAGTTTTAAAAAATTATTTCCTACAATAAATATAATAAATAAGATACAAAAGACATTTATTCAATCATTAATTACAAACAGCAATTTCTTATAAAATTATAGTATTTTCTAAAATTAAATATGCAAGGCTATAAGTTTATAGAACAATGTATGTAGACATCAATACTTTAATTTTTTAAACTAGTATATAGTGAAATTGTGACAGCATGTTATTAAATTTGTTACAGAAAGATATACCTACCAAGACATCTGAATGGTTTCACCCAATGAGAACCTTTGCATTTCTTCTGGCCAACTTTACACCAATTCTCGATTTTATAGAATCTGCTGGATTCCACGATATTACGTATATCTCGCTTTGGATAAACCTTTGTGAAAGAATATAATAGATATCTTTGAAACTTATATCAAAATTATATCTATAGAAAAATGCATTACATATACTTATAAAATATAAGCAATAAGTCTTTACAATTAAAAGAGATATTATGCACTGTTTTATCATTTAAATCAAGTGTTAAATTATATGATTATGGAACTGTATAAATAGTTAATGAATTTGGCAACATATTTTAAGGTTTCTTATAAAATTTAAGCTCTTGTCACACAAGGTTAAGCTTTGGACCCGTGGAGAAAGTCAAACAATTACATTTTTATGGCTTGATGCATCAAAGACAAAACTAGAAAAATATAAAAATATATAGAAGACATCCTTGTCAAAAATAGAAAAAACCCCCATCCTTTTTGGATCCAATTCAATTAGAACAAAAAATCTTGTTTGGAAAATGGAGAATCCATGTTATTTTAGAAAGGATTTAAAAAAATGCCGAAAGAAAGAAGAAAGATCACAGAAGAAAGCAAGAGATTCTGGTCTGTATTTGAAGAATAAGTCAACATCCGGAACTTTGGTGGAATTTTATGTCACGGATTAAAATCTCAACAATTTTCCAAGAAAAATATTGAAATGGATTATGGTCAAACAATAGCAAAAATGCAATTTAAGAAAACTCTTTAGATATATTGATAACCGGATAACAACATGACTCACCCACTGAGAACAGTTTCAGTTTATTCATCAATAACAATTTTATATGATTGCTACGAGTAGCCATTTTATGTAAGATACATTTAATAATTCACACAGGAATGAGCTACTTTAGGACATTAATATTAAAATATTTAACAAGAGTTTCTACATTGCAATCGTATATTAAATTTTAAGCATCAGAATTATTAGAATACTTCTATCATAATTTAAATGAAGTATACTAAATTTATCAACAAAAATGGGTGCAAAAATTCATTTTAAAAGTATTGTTTATCACTTTATACTACAGCAAACGAAAAGTAACTTCTTTCATAACTAAACTAATAAAGTTTTGTCCATGACTGTTTACAAAATTTAAGTATGATAAAATAAAAACATGCATTGCCTACGGTATTAATCTTTTCAATAGAATTAATTTCTAAACCTACACGAATTTCTGTATTAAAAATATCAGATGCAATGCACTTTAATTATACATTAAGACAGATTAAAATGAATAATAAAATATTCATCAGAGATGAAAGTAAAGAGTTTTTCTACATTTTGGTATAGAATATGTCGCATTTTAAAGCTGCTTTTTACTAGATAGAGGCTACCGTATAAGGAAATACTTTATCATTGCCGGTTAATGACAGGAAGAGAAATTTATCAAGTTTTATGTTATAACACACAGACACACAACACTATATATATATATTTGGTAAAATATAAAAGATTTTAAACATTAATCATCTTTGGACAAATGGAAAAATGAAGTTTCATTCGGTAATATAGTTTGATATTAAATTGTTCTGACTTTTCAATTATCTATAGATGGGCTCTTGATTTATAGTCATCAGTATCCATTTTTTCTCCACAGACGGAAACATAAAAGAACAGTACTTAAGATTGCAGTAAGACATATTCTGAGTTGTCTGTTTTTCATCTCTGCTTACTACATTCATTAACCATTACATAAAGGAGAAAATAAGAAAACAAAACAAATAATATCTTTGCTGATGGTATCAAAAAAAAAAAAAGATTAATATGTTTAAATTTGCAAAAAATTGAGTTAATTAGAAGAATAAATTTCATAAAATAATATGAATATATTCTTTTATTCTCGATTGAAGGAAGTGAAAGTTTTTATTCACACCTGGAGAATATAACATTAGAGTGGTCATTTTAAGAGAACATATCCATTATGATGATGATTTTATTATGCAAAGTATAGTAATTTGATACTTTAAAACTATAAAGATGGATTCAATTTGATTGATCATCAGATTCGGATGAGTTTATCATATTCATTGCAAAATTGAAATGCTATCTTCATACACAATGTTGTATCAACGAATGGTTTCTATTTATGACAAGGAAATTCAATTAAAAAGAAAATAAAATTATACATATATATATTACTGTTAAAGTTTATAAAAATTTTATTGTTTAAAGTTTGTTACAATGTTTTGTGCCTTATAAACTCATTAAACAAATTTAATTGAATTATTAATGGGTTTTATGATTACCTATTCTTTATAAGTAAAAATAAATTAAATATTTTCTTTTAAACATTTTTTTTTAGTTGAAATAAATTAAAATAAAAAATTTTTATTTTTATTAAAAGAAAGAAAAACTAAGTGTACACTTAATAAAAAGCAGTTGAATCATACAACTGGCAATGATAAAATTTAAAAAATTGGAATGGCAGAGCAAATATTTTCGCAGAAACAGAAAATTAACAATTTCCAGAATAAAAGTAGAAAGAAAGAAATTATGTGGTGGTTACTAATTATCCCAGTTTAAAACAACTGCAATAAATCAAGATTAAATTCTCCGAATTAAATTTCCAATGCAAATTTACATATTTTAAAATTTCGAAGAGCGTCATTACAAAAAAAAAAAATTAACACAATTGCACCAGGGTTGATATTAAAAATTGGAATGATAAATCACTTTAAATTTTCAATGTAACTCTTTTTATAACTACTTTCCTTCCTCCTTTTTCCTGGCAGTTGCACAGAAAGATAATAAAATAATGTAACCGGACTCATCCAAATTATCAGAGTACTTAAAAACATCCAAATAAAATCATTCCGCTGCGAGGCCAATAACTTAAATCATAAATTTTTAAAATCTAGTTGAATCAAAAATAAATAATTATTCATTATTCAAAGAAAAATATTTAATGTTTTAAGATTATTATCGGAGAACCAATTTCTTGCTGCACTGTTTCCACTTTTTAATTTAAGCAACCTACCAAGAGCTAATTAAATAAATAAAAAAAATGAAGTGCTGGAAGCCAAAAAACATCTTTGCCAAATTAAAATATATATATATATATATATATATCAGAAAATCTTGAAACTAATGTGCAAAAATTCACACATCTTTTGCAATTTGACAAGGCTCTGGCATTATTAAAAATAATAAAATTTTAGGAGAAAATCGTCAAATATGGAGTAGTAAAGTAATTTATCAAAAGAATTAGTTCCCGATTGTAGATATATCCAGAATGGAGTAGTAGCTGCAAGTATTTCTCCTGCATCGATCGTCCTTCTCTGACAATGTGTGTATCTTGGAATTCTCGGGGGACCTAAGCGAAATATCTGACAGTCATTTTTATCCGAAGTCTTTCCAGAAAGCGACTTTAACCCATACAGCATAGCTTTCTACTATTTTTCTTCGACACTGTCGTCATATTATACACATCACTATATATCAAAAAAAGGGGGGAAAAGATGTAACCTGGCCTTTATTGAACGGATGCCTGACCTTGACATTTTCCTTCTAGAAAAGCATTACGATAGAATTCTTAGTTATCTGGCCAAATCGGTAGAGGTTGGAAGAACGAGATGACCTAGAAAATATTCTTCGACGTCGACGACGAGCGTAACGTGTATCTAATTGGATTAGCGCACGGTAGTAGAGCAGTAATTAAGAAAACCGGAGCGTTGTACCGATTTAAACAATGGCAAAGTTCCTAATTATGGCCACGAATGTTATTCCTATTACGACAGATTTATGATTTATTGGGAGTTCTAAGAAAGAATAACAATGCAGTAACCTAATGCGTTTTCCATTAAAGTTTCATTAACGAGTGACAAATAAGGCGCTTACTATTGAATCTCGACGTGTAACTTTTGTACAAATCTATTAAAACTTGCTTAAAATATCGTTAAATTCGCAGAATTTACCATCCGTAAACAATTTAGCATTGTGCATACGTAGTGGGATGCCGAAATGCTAAGCAGAGAGCGCTCGTTAATCGGGTCGGTACACCGAGACTTCGCTTCACTTTTGAAGCAAGGCTACACTGAAAAAGAGGGGAAAAAACAGGGGAAAAGACTGTCAACAGTAGATTTTTCTTATTCCACGACTTAAACTTTGCGAAATGAGACAAGTTATAAAAGTAGGGTAATACTAGATGGCATCTCTCAATGGCGTATCTCCCCCATTACGTGTTGAAAACTGCTCAGAATTCTCGGAGCAAAGAGGGATTCAGAAAGATGGCAGAGTTAATGTCAATTCTACTGCATTTCTTATCCCCGACTATAAAAACTTAGTCTGAAGCTGTTGGCACCAGCTTTTCTGACGACGTCGTGAAAAAGCTAAGTACGGGGTCCCACTCAATCAGATTCAAAGAATATGGAAAAAGTAGGGATTACCCGGGAATAAGTACGAAAGATAGCAAGCCATAAATGTACTTTACGATTTCCAATATAATTCTTTGGCCTTCGAAGTACCGTATATTTACATCTAGCAGTATTTTGTATCGATCTGATGACTGGTTTCCATTCCCCCAATGCCACCAGAAGGGTGCCATAAAAATCGCACGGAAACTAAATACCTTTAAGGAATAGAAAGAAGAAAATCATTCAGAAAAAAAAAAATTAAAAATGCAATAAACCTTACGTACAAAAGTTGGCATATTTATATTCTAAACTTTTACTTATAAGAAGCAAAAGTATAGGCCTATATATAAAGAAACGCGATCAAGTAGAGGAAAAGTAGGATTTTTCAAGGTTGTAGAGAAGCTGTCCAACTGATTGAATTCCATTTTCCACGATATTGAAGATTACTTTTTCCAACTACCAAAGCAGATAGTGTATGGAGAGTTTTAAAATACGCTATGAATTTACAATAAGTCCCATTTATATTTTATCCCACGTTTTGTATAGAGGAAAAAAAAAGGGAAGCTTCTTGCTTTTTGGAGGGTGTCCATACCGAATAACTGGATACATCAAATGAAAGATTCAGAAATCGGAAAGGCAGCAAGCACTACTCAAAAGCACAGTTTTCGTGTGTCGATAATTTACAAGCTCGCCCGTTTTTATTTAAAAAAAAAGTTTTCGAGAAACCCCGATCGATTCCATACATTTTCCAGAATGCCATTTTACGTAATACCTAACAGTATACACTGCGTGATATACATGTATATACGACTGTCAACTTAAATATTAATTGTATGCACTCGTGTAGAGATGACCCGTGCCCCGTACGTGTGTGTATTCTATAGAAGATTTATTGACCGATAATTGTGATTACTAATCGATAACTAAAAATACAATTAAGACAAAATTTGATTTATCGATTTCATTCAGTACTCGGGTAGGACAATCGATACAATTTCATTTCCATCAACCTTTCTCCTTTTACATCTTTTGTCTCCACTCCTCTTCACTCTGTCTACACTCCGAGCAAATTCTATCGAATCAGTTTATCTTCTCGGTTATCAAATTACTCGAAAAATCTACACAAATATTGTTATTCTTCTAATTACAGTAATCCTATCGAGAGTATAGAATTTCTAACTCCCCTCCATTAAATTATTCGACTTAATTTTAAAATTATCGTTTCAATATTTTTTTTCAGCTAGCCTCAATTTAAATAAATTGCTTTTATATATTTCTTTTGGAAAAAAATGCCTTAGTGAGACGTGATTTAGCCATTAAAACTTAAAATGTTCATTGTCAGGAGTAAAGCCTCCTTGTATTACATTTTTGCTTTGTTACGACTTCACGCGTACGCGGATTTTCTCGTGTTTGCCTTAAACTCGCGAAAATTTTACCTATGGCACCCACTTCATCATCATATTCATGGCTGCAAGTACGGTACGTGTGTAAGTTAATCATCCAACCAAAAAAAAACGAGACAAGGATAAGGCTGATCTGACCCAATTTCAAACAGTAATTAGTCGTGTCCCTTTTAAAAAGGGCAGGGTAACACTTTCGTTTTCGGAAGTACACAACATATATATTTTTATTTTGTTTTATTTTTTCCACCTCCCTACGATTAAACTATCGAAACTGCTCCGGAAACTAATGATTTCTTGAGTAGTTTTCTAGAAAAGGAAAGTATCTTTTAACGCCCCAGGCTTTTGCTTTTGATCCTTTTCACAGTAGACGAGAGGGGGGGTACGAACGGTGGCCGTCCGATCGAAGTCGGACATCCGACAACGGATTACCATCGGCGCATGCTCCTTAACGGCGGGGGTGAGGAAGGAAACTGTAATTTTGCCTCGACAATACACTTTCCAATACATACTGATCGGATGGGGCGTTCGGTAACAAATTCCTCCAAGGAATGGCAGGTGGAAAAAAAACAAGTTTGACAATTTGATAACATCTGGAGAGGGTTTTTCGTATACTCGATAAATTCGCCCGGTTGCAACACACACAAACACAAGGAAATATATACACAAAACTCAACGTCTGGTGTCGAAAAAGTGTCGTTTAAACGGGTTACTAGAGGGCAAATTTTACATAATTATATGTGAATATTAATTAAAAGTGGATTATTTTTCGATTCTCGTAATGGCTGCCGGCGAACTGGACCGATTCTGCGTGTTTTAATGACTCGAGCTCTCTCTCTCTCTCTCCGATTGGACGTGGCATTCATAGGATCATTAGAATCACTTCATTATTTAATGCTTTCATAACACTGCCAGAAACTTAATCGATAAAACTCTTCTGGGTTAGACTCAAAAAAAAAAAAAAAAAAACGGGGAAACTTACGTCGCTACAACGCGAATTTCCGTGACTAACTTCATCTCTTTTAGCGCTATTTTCGCTTCAATTTCCTGTTACCGGAGCCATTTTTGATTAAGAAAATTGGTAGCAGAAGCAAAAAAAAAAGGAACAAATTTAAAGATTTCCGAGCCTCCAAGAGATCAATTTAATTCCAAAATTATCAAGTAAAGGATTAAATTTCTTTCCCCTTTTTTTTCCGGACAAACAAACTACCAACTACAAATATTCGTTAATCAAATCACTTACAAATTATATAAAGTAATTTGTGCTTTAGACATTAGCAAAAATACCGATAAAACCAGATTAGAATGATTAAATACAAAAATAGCGACACATTTGATAAAGGTTTATTTTTTATTTTTTTATTCTTATTCTTCCTCCTCCTCGATTCTTGCTCTTTTCGATAATTAAAATGTCTCTCAGGAGAACATCTGTCACATTTTATAATCACATTCGCTCACACTGTCTGCATAAATGACCAATTAAATTCTGATTAGACCTATTATATTTTTATTTACATACACGAGAATTTCATGATGATCCTTCACATTATTTATCAATCATCAGTTAGTATCATCCAGCCTAATTTGCATACGATACGGAAATTTGGAAATTTAAAATTTTAGTGAATTGTTCGAAATATTTCCGAAAGTTTAACGCTATAAAGAGTGCTTCAATATAATTATCTAATTACTGGAATTATAATTATAATTATTAATTAACAGAGAGTAGGATAAAATATTGGATAATGAAGAATCTAAGTCAGCATCCGGAGGGAGCGAGAGAATTACTACACGCAACTGTAACTAACACTTGCTTTACAAGGCTAAATCAGGTGTAATTTATGGAAAATAATTATACATTTTATAAATATAAAAGGGGGTTGAATCAAAATTATGGGTTAAAAGTCATGCAGGTAAAATACAGTCGACCCTCCCATAACGCTCTTGATTATTTCGTTTTATATGAATTCCATGTTGTACGAGTCACTTAGATTTTACAGATACATGTGCTGAGCTGTGAACGGCTCACGTATTTGTAAAATCTAAGTGACTCGTACAACATGGAATTCATATAAAACGGAATAAACAACAGTGTTATAGGGGGATCGACTGTAATAGCGAGAATGAATGAATTTTCATCATACTCTATTGGAAATATCTGAAAGGAAGAATAGTCGAATAGTTCCTACTTATTAAATCATCTTGGATCGTTTAATTTACCTAGAACTTTGACCTTTCGTGACCTATTAAGCCTTGAGTATCGAGAACCTATCAAGCCTTCGTTCGAGAACGAATCAATTATTGTAGTTAAGTAATCAGTTTAAATCATAGTTACAAGTGATGGATGATAATGTAAGCTATAGTTTAACAGATATAGGACCACATCCCAATTGGTAGTGCTGGCATTGTTGGATAAGTAGTTATCTAACAGACACAATTGGATAGATTACTGTAGTTAGTGTATAGGTAGCACACACGCTAGTGAAGTCATACTTGGCACTACAGCTTCACGAAAATCACTTTCAAAGACATTCTATACTAGAAAATCATCCAAAATTAATCTGGAACGGTGACAATTAAGATTTGGATTGGGACCAAACCCGTGATGGATCGTATCCCAATTTATTCTTCTAATTAAGTATTTAAGATTTCGAGAAAAAAATATCCGTATTATTAAATCAAGCGAGCGAATTAAACAAGTATTTTTGACTATTTTTCAGTTGAATTTCAATCAAATTTATTTATGTGGAAATTAAAAGTGGGTCACACTCCATTGTTATAACGACTGTAATTTATGTAATGCATCAAACACGCTCCAGTTCCAAATTTGTGAGATCATTTTCAACGAGGACTACATTAATAGAAGTTTAGAGCTGGAATCCACGAAATGCAGCTAACACGACACCCCCCCGTAACAATTTCATACCGAGCAAAGGGGGGGGAATATTCAAGAGAATCTTTGTTTACCTGGTACCATCTGAAACTTTTCTACTGCTTACCTTGCGGCAATATTCCAATATTTCCAGTTTATTTTTGGTGCAGGTAGATTTAGTATCAGAATCCGATACCCAACGGCGATTTTCGTCCAAATATTGGTTTTGTATCTTACCGTGACCGCAGAGAAGAGCCACCATGGGTTGGAAGTGGCTCAATCCCGGCTCCAAACTACTTGCCACTGCCTAGAAAAAAAAGAAGAAAAAAAATTGTCATTATATCATCTTAAACCCCTCATTTTCTTAGGTACCGTTACTAAATGAGACAATTAAAGTGTTATAGGATCGAGTAAGTGATTTAACGCACGAAGACACACCTATCCAGAACCATTTTCGGGGTTTATATAGCGACGATCACATTTCTTTATGTGTTTTTCTATAAATCTAGCGTGATTAGATGAGGTTTTTATTACGTTATAAACGGGTAAATCAACTATTTTTACTAGTGATATCAGTAATCGTAATTACGATAAACTTTCTAAATTAATCGCTCGTACGAAACCGAATTGAGAAGATCATCCTCACCTACTTTTGGCAGATTGCTGAAGTATATAAGACCTTTACACAATTAAAAAACGTGATCATCCCTATTATATTGGGTTGGTACGAATGATATAATTCGACACTGGTGTGTCCTAAAGTAAATCACGTTGCATATAAGTTTGCCACGCCCGTTATCGATCAATTTTTACTGAAAATTACATATAGAACCTACCGATTGTTTTTTTAAAACGAAGTTAAATAACTAGAGGCAATTGTTTAATAATCACTACAAACCTATGAATCTCTTGGCGAGTGGATAACCTTCAGATATATTTATTACGTTATTAGCTAAGAGGAGAAAGGATGAAGAAATAAAAGACAATATTTACAGTGTAATAGTTCATCTGGAAGTGATTTAGATTAAACAGAGGACAGCAAATATCAGTTCATTAACGGTTAGAATTTATTGTGGGGAGTGCTCGGTATTGATAAAATAAACAAAATTACTTATCAAACACTTGGCTTGTTTTCTTACAGGGGGGATCCAACCGCCATTAAATGCCCAACGATTTCGATATAACGAAAATAAACTGTTAGTTGACACAAGTGGATATTTGGTGATAACGTCTGGTGGTGTTTTCATTGTGTTTAAGATCCTGTACACGAAGCGTGTTCGATCTTTGATTAAAACATCTTCCTACTCATCCAACAAAACTTGGAGGTTGGGGAAAATAACAGGATAAACTTCTAAAGGTCTTATAAATACATTTACGAGGCTTTAGAGTGGTGTTCTAAGGAGTTACGTACTGTCTCTTAAAATTCTATCGTCTCTTTTTTAAAAAAAATGAATCAAACATACGAAAGATTTTCGATATTCTTGTTCCTTCGACAGCTACCAATCCATCTAACAACAATACGTATCAATCAATTGAACCAATAAGAAATTTCGAGTGTTTCCATCTTACCTTTTTCCCAGATAAAGATTGTATCTGGGATATAATCGAGTTATCTGGGATAGAAGATTGATAAGACATTATTAAAAATTTCTATCGGTTGGTCTAATATTTTTATTTATTATATATAAAGACAGTTTGACGTCGAAATGAAAGATAGAAGATTTGAAAAAAAAACAAAACAAATTAAATTTATCGAAACAAATATAGGTTTGAAGGGAGATGATAATGGAAAAAATCAGTTATCATACGAGAAAGTTTTATCGAACAAAGAGAAATGGTACTAAACGAAAAGCAATTGTTGCTCTCGGAAGTGTTTCCGATGACGTTCAACTTCCATTCACCATTTTTTTTTTCTCTCTCTCTTATTGTTATCCCGACGAAAGAACAAAACTAGTCATCCATAAAACTGGAGGATAGATAGATCATTGAAGATTGGACTGGAGAACGGATATTGCAGATGAGAACTATGAAAAAAAAAAGTAAAAATAAAACCTCCCCTAACCGTGCCGAAAATTTTATTTACTGGCAACGCAAATAATGATAATACTAATGTTTTCCTTCTCGGAAACCTCCCCCCTAAAAGAAGTTAATGGGTTTTGGGATTTCCATTCGGTTCGGTTATTTTTGGAATCCTTGAACGAAGCTAACAGAGCGAGTGAGTGGTCAGACCTTGAAACTGACGATTCTAAATTTGACTACTTTCCTTTCTCCCCCCCCATTCGTGTTGCTTTCTTCGCCAAATCGATTCAGAATATTCTTAGTTTTATTGTTAAACTGTCAACGCGCTGCTTAGAATTTAGTGCATCAATAAATGTAATTGAATCTCGAATCTCTGCACGCCTCCGTGTTCCAGGATTATATAGGAATTAACTAAGCTGTGGATTTTTTTTTATACTTTCCCGTAATCTAAATAAATACTGGAAGGATACTTGTACATTATCCTCCCACTATTAAGGCATAAAAATGAAAGCGAGAATCTCAAAGTATATCAATGACTTACAAACTAGGACTGCAAAAACTCCAGGGAGGAGCACTTATACATGTCCATACCCTCGAATTACACTCGTACCCCTACTCATAAACACACACTACTGTGTTTAATATCTTATGTCCTCCCTAAACTGCGACCTTACAATCTTTTCATTACGTATACAAAAACCTCGTTAATCAATTTTAATTGCGTTTTCAGTGAGAATTTCCTCCCTTCGATCCTATATATACAGTATATATACTACACCCCTAGAAAAGAAGGCTAATTTATCCTTTTCTTTTTAATCGGTCGCGGCGTTTATACAAATTTGTCACGTAATAAATCCAGTTTATCACTAAAATCTCGACGTTGAATTCTCCAGCGAGATACAAACAAGAAAAGTTAGTCTCTCGCCGGAAACAACCCCACCCCCCTCTCCTTCCCTTTTTCTTTTTAAACAAGACTTTGATAAATACAAACGTAATCAACACGTCACCGTCGTATTTGATGTAATTTCGTCTGGATCCAACATCTTGTTGCCGTTCATTTACTAAGACATAAATCATCTCGTGCCACCTTCCTCTCCACTTCCATAAACACGAGAATGCAACATTAGTGCGTGCACGCGTGCATGTGTCGACGACGTTGACAGAGTAGTTTGAAACGTGAGGCAAAGAATGACAGTTTCCGAACATTTTCTACTGCTTTTTTTTCCTCCTCTCACCCCTCTACACGAATCTTGGGAGATTTTTACTTACAAAATTAAATTTCAAGTAAAGATTTTTCCATTACTATTATTATTATTATAAGGTATACTCCTTAATACATTATCTAACCAAATCCAGGCTTTATAAATAGAGATTCCGAGGGTGTTAACGCTTTGTTAAGTCTGTTAATGTAATTTGTATCAATTAATAATTTAATAAGCGCTATGTTAAGTTGCAAAATAGTGACGATAAATTATCTTCTTGTGGAAATTCGTGTTTCGATTACGGCCAGACAGATTACCGAAGTGTGATAAAAGTTGGCGTAGAATCTTTAGAAACAAAAAAGATTATTAAGAAAATTAAATTTTCAGTATAATTTCGGGATAATTTTTAATGAGGAACAACGAAGAAGAGTAATAAAAATTGAGGAAAAAAAAACCAGTCGTAAAATTTTGGGATGTTGCTGGAAAGATAGGCAAAAATGTGAGGTAAATCTTAAGAAAAATATTAATGCCACAGCCTTAAACAGGCGATAACATGTAAAATACTATAAAAAATGTACGTTACAAATACAAATACGAGCCATAAAACGTGAAGGCCAGGCGAAAAGAAGGTACTACCAGGGTACAGATTCCGCATAAAAAAAATATGCCACGGAGTACAAATTGCGTGTAAAAGTAAATAATGCCACAAAAATTATAAAGCTACAACGTGGGCCATAAAAATAAATATACGAGCAACTAAAGTAATAATCTGCAAAGTTACTAGAATCAGAAAATGTAAGTAGCAAAATGCGGAGAGCAATAATTTGGCCACAAGCAAAAGAAAAAAATTGAGATATAAAATTGACAGAAAGCAAAACCGCGAAGACGATAAGTTTTTTCCGCAATAAATCACGACGACAATAAGCAAGTTGCATTAAAAATTCTGAATGAGAAAGTTGAGAATTTCACGCAATAAAAACTTCAACAAAAAATACTTTATATATATATATATATATATAACGTTTAGAAGTAGGTCGATCGTTTATACGTAAGTACAACAAAAACAGAAAAAAACTTTGGGTGGATGAAAGTACTTAAAAATCATAAAAATTCGAGGCAAAAAAAAATTAAGATAAAAATCAGTACGTACTTAAATACAAAGTGAAATTCAAAAATAACACCCTCGAGATTTCGTACCGGAGGGAGGAAAGTGGCGAGAAGAAATTCTTTGACGAGAATATAATCAAACTAACAAAGAAAGGACATTTTTTATGCAATATTATGGATGCATTTCGCAAAGAAAACGGCAGATGTCGATGGAAGAAACAGGAAAAAGAGAGAGAGAGAGAGGGGGGGGAAAAATTAATACGTTGGTCCCAGAAGGAGTTTCGTGCCATTGGCTACACGCGTGTCGAGAATGTTGACCTCTGCCAACATGTTTCAATTTATACGCCACAGACGTACCTTCGAAAGAAAATATATTACACTACAGAAATTTCGATCCATTATTTTCGCAAAACTTTCTCAAAATGTAATACTAAATAAATGCAAGTTTTCTTTTTTTTTTAAAAAAGAGGGTTTTTAGAAGTGTTCTTTTCCTCAACCTAAGCCGACATTAGCCTCGAGTTTTTAGATACGCATAACCCGAGTAAAACTACTTTTCTAGGTAAAGTGAGCGCGCCTAGACTTATAAAAGGGGATAAAATTCCCAAAGTTATTCGACCGAAAATCACCCCGAGTTTGCATAAAAGGGGCAAAAATATCTCCGAACCAATCTAAGAAGGGGTGATAGTAGGGGAAAGAAAAAAAAAAGAGAGGGAAGATATTGCTGAAAAAGAGGGGAGAGCGAGGGGAAAATTGACGCAGTTTATGCTGGATAAGGCACCTTATCTCGTGAATGTCAAGCTAGAGGCTGGCTTTTTCCCCCTCCTATATTCAGACATACCACCAGCACCAGAGAGAGACATTAATGCTAATGGACTTCTTTCGTGATAAAAACCGGACGAGCTCAATTTTTATGGCAATCAGAGTGGGCAAAAGATGAGTCTCTTGTAGAGAAGCAATCGTGTCTACTCGGCCTGCCTGT